GTATCGTAGCTAAGCGCCGGATTTGGCCGTCGTTAGAGTCCGACGGCTAGACCGCCGGCGAAGCCGCCCGGTAATAACCGACGGTCCATAAAACCGCCGTTCAAACCGCCGGTATTTGACATTTTTCCTGTAGTGTTTCATATCACTAAAAGAAATACATTTATGCTCTCTATCTTACATCCAGGTTAGATGAAAGCAGACCTTCCTTCTCAATCTTCTATTCCTTCATTTTTTTTTCTTTAATGACTAAAAAGTTACGCAAACCCCATATTAATTAAAGAAAAGTAATTTAATTAAAAAAAAAAATACTAAGAACAAGTTTAAAAAATAACAAAAAGAAATTAAAAAGGCGTATGTTGAAGGTTTATATCCCTTTTTCAGCATCTGTGCAATATAATTATATAAATATAAACTTCAAGCAAAAGAAATGGGATTCTTGTTCTATGGTTTTACCGCATGAAATAGAAGGTGAGAAAAAGTGAATCTTTGGAACCATAAGGGGTAGCTGGTCCGAGTGTTCCAACCTTATTCATTGACAGGAGACGAAATGAAATTTCGAGATTGAAATGCTTGAAGAAAAATTACTTGAATGGTTTTAGGTTTAGCATGCCGAAAAGAAAAAGGTTTTCTCATGAAGGCTGGTCCATCAAATAGTTTGATTTGCTTAATTAATCCCATAACAACTGATCAAAGAGCACATGCATCAGCTCTAGAAATTGAGGCTTGAGCCGATTGTTCTTAAAATTCTACTGTTTCCTTCGTGCTATATTCAGAACAAAGAACATGCTTTTGTGTATGGTATTATATTTGTGGCGTTTCTTTATATTTCCATGGTTTTATGAGCCATGTAGCTCATGAAAATCTATTATAAAGAAAGAAGTCAGGTAGCTCATGTACTGGCTTATAATGTAGTTGCTCCAATCTTTTTGAAATCAAAATTGCATGCAAGTAATTAGCCGAGAAAAAGTTCTGAAGGTTCTCTAGTCAATTTTGCCTCATATTTTGTTAGATTTTATTAAAGAATTGTATAAAGCAGTATCATGGAAGGAATGAATGCTCGGATTAATATATATATATATATAATAATATATATAATATATATATATATATATATATATATATAATATATATATTATAATAATATTAATATAATTATATATATATAGGGGTGTCAAATTCGGGTCAACGGGTCGGGTTCGGGCGAACCCGGAACTTGACCCGGCACTGTTCGGGTCAACCCGAACCCGACCCGTTTTTAAAAACGGGTCAGGTTCCGAACCCGACCCGATTCGGGTCCGGGTCAACCGACCCGACACGAATGACCCGGGATTTGACCCAAAAATTGCTAAATTAAAATCGGGTCAATCTCGGGTTTTCGGGTCAAAATCGGGTCAAAAACGGGTCAATCTTGGGTTTTCGGGTCAAAAATGATTTTTCATGTCACTTTCGGGTCAATTTCGGGTTGGCGGGTCAACCCGATCCCGACCCGATTTTTAAAACGGGTTGATTTCATGAACCCGAACCCGACCCGTTCCCGGCTAGCTCGAATTAACTGAGCGGGAATAGACAGTCGTACGGTACACACAAAATTTCATTCATAATTAAACATATACAAATGTTCATCCAATTTCAGTCATAAAAAGAGCCACTAAATATCAAATTTGAAAATTTCATGAACATCAAAATAATATATATATATATATATACATATACATATACTGTCACGACCCAGCCCGGCTAGCTCGAATTAACTGAGCGGGAATAGACAGTCGTACGGTACACACAAAATTTCATTCATAATTAAACATATACAAATGTTCATCCAATTTCAGTCATAAAAAGAGCCACTAAATATCAAATTTGAAAATTTCATGAACATCAAAATAACAATCTAAAAACATAACAATACTTTAGAAAGTCCCCAAATACATAAACTTTTACATAGACTAACACTAGACACAAACAACCAAAAAAATCTGTCATCCTGGGATCCTCTACGACGGTAGTTAATCAGTCTTTCAACCATCACTCTCTAGCAATCTCTCCTGAAAAACATTCACACAAGCAGGGATGAGCTATCAACTGGTAGTAAATATCTCAATTAAATTCATAATGCAAGGAAAGAAGAAATATTATGCAGTAAACTTTTCATACAATAAGGCTTAAATAACATGAGAATCTTAAGTATGTCTAATCCATGTAACATTTGGAATGCATAACATTTTAAATGCCCGGAACTCTCCTTAATTTCATTTCTTTTTCTTAATTTTTCCGTTACATTTCTTATATGCAAACAAAATAAAATACATAGTCTTAATTGTATACACCTATCTCGAAAGTACCAATAATTTGTACTGATATGGTACACATTCAAATTTGGTCAAACATTTCATTTCATTTACTTCAAATAGTCCTTTACCAATTTGCTCGGAGGAGCCCTTTACCATTTGCTCCAAAGTGCCATTTATCGTTTGGTACTCCGGATCATCAAGCACATTCAATCATTCCATACTTAACATAAGAAAAATTAAATCATTCATAAATTCATGTGTTTGTCTAGTAATGTTTCATACTCAAATGTTCTCCTAAAATTTTTACATGTTCAAAATTGACTCTATAATTTAACTAAATTAAAACATTAAAGCATGTAGGATTTTAACATTTAATGAAATAGAAACTTATAAATTTAAAAGATGTATGAATACCTACCTCACAAGTAGAGTAAACATCAACAACGTCGCTTATGCTCGAGACGTCCTTTTATAATCGACACCTAAGTATAAATATAAATACAAACATTATTACTAAGTCTTAATCATAATATATTTTCAATAAACACTTAATTAAATTTCTATTTTCGGATTTAATAAAAACCCAAATTTTAGGAAACCTAAAATTCACAAATTTCATCTAATATTCATGACGAACTTCCTCCTAAACCTAATTAATAATTAGGTTATGAAAATTTCGGATTATTTTAATAAAAACTTTATAAAATAAATATTTTTGCGAAATAACTTAATTTCCACCATTAAAACCTCCCTAATGTTATTAGAAACAATAATCATAAAGAAATTTATCTTGAAATCCAAAAATTTGTAAACCCTAATTTTACAACTCAACAAAATTTTGATAAAAACTTCATTCTTGGGTTTAGGAAACATCCTTAATCATTCCCTAACAATCCCCTTTTAATTTCCTAAAGAAAATCTAAGTTTTTGAAAAATCCTAAAATTTTCTCTTTAGGAAGATCATGAGAGAAAAGGATAAATCCTAAATCAAATGCATATCTTAATCTTCTCTTGCCTTCCTCTTCTCTTTCCCCCAAGTACGGCCGTCGGAAACTGCTGCCAGAGCCGCCCACGAAACCTCCCGCCGCCCTCATGCCTCCGCCTCCCTCTCCCTTCGGTTTGGCCGAACGAAAACGAATGGGGGACCGAATAGATTTCGGTCCCCTTAAGATTGGGCGGTTAGGGATAATTGCAAAAAGTCTTAATTGCTCTCACATGACTTATTTTCATTATAATATCATTAAGGACATTTAAGTAATTTGTCAACTCAATTGTAACTTTGGCAATTTTTAATTTAAAATCTGTGTGGAATTCACTAGAAGTCCCTTATACTGATTTGCTCAAAATTTTATGTACAATTTTATAAATTATTTTAGTCGAAATCCGACGACTTTGAAAATCCACTTAAATTTCGCCATGGCGCATCAAAATGCGTGCAATGCTTACGCTCGCTGATTTTGGGTTTTACATATATTGTGCACACGCGACTACTTGCCTGATTTCTTATTTAATATATGCGCAGTGCTATAGAAATTAATTTGATATACTTTGAGGCAAAGAATATGTCAAAGATATGTACGATGGAATTTTGATTGGTTTTATAAATAGTTATAGAGCGACTCAAGAGTTTTTAGTTATTATAGATTTATGTCAATGATTAATATTGAGATCGTATTTTTTCTTTATTAGCCATTGAGATGCTTATAAATAATATTTAAAGCAAGGTATTTTATTTTAAGTATTTTGCATACGATACAATTCTAATTAGTGGCCCATTAAAATAATTAAAAAATTAAAATAGTGGAGGAAATGTTTGGAAAATAAAAGACTTTATATATGATCTGTAGTTGTAGTGGTGTGATATTAACTATTATCATTTAATATTTTATAAGATATGCTGATAGGCTTAAGTATTTTAGATCTATTATATAGCAGAATCTCTCTCTCTCTCTCTCTCTCTCTCTCTCTCTCTCTCTTTCTATATATATATATATATATATATATATGTATGTGTGTGTGTGTCTTTATGAGGATATTAATTATAGAGTTAAGGCTCGATGGGCAGAACAAAGAAGTGCATTGGGAGTTTCAATAATAAGATCAAATGGAAGCTTGAAGGTACATTTTATAAAATTATATTTAGGCTAATAATGTTGTTTGAATCCGAATATTGTGCTATAAAAAAAATCTTTGATATCTAAGTTGAGTGTTTCATAAATGGAGATGTTAAGATAGATGTGTACTAAAACTAGAATGGAATTAATAATAAATTAAAGAATGACTATTAGAGAAATAATTGATGTGACATGTATTGAAGATTAGGTGACTAAAACAGACTTAAATATTTTGGATTTTAATGAAGGGTAAAAATTAATCCTGTTAGAATAGTCAATAAAATTAGCATCAGAGGATTATGTAAAGAAAAATGTATACCTAATTTACATTGAAAGAAGTTTTTTAAATGATTGATGAAGAATAGGTTTAACACCTCATAAAACACTAAATAGGAATGAATGAAAAGTGAGGATTCATTGTGCTGACCCAAAGTAGTTGGGATAAGGCTAATATTGATGATAATGAACAAGGTCTTTGTGCATGTTATGACTTATGTGTTGGCTTTAATACAGCATTTCTTATTCTTTCTCTTGAAAGCTTTGTAACTTGCTCTGATGGAGCTTTAATTCTGCTCTTCTTCTTCTTCTTTTTCAGATATCAGTTAATTCGGGTCAGTGCCAGGGGTACAAATGAGGGCTACAAGTGGCTGGAAATGTTCGAGGATGCTCGTGCTATAATATTTTGTGTCGACCTCAGCGACTACGATCAACACGGTGAGCCTGTTCATGGAAAGAACAAGTCTCTAACTAATAGGATTATGCAGAGCAAGGAGCTCTTTGAAACAACTGTGAGGTGCCATTCTACACCATACCCCTTCCAATTTTATATTTCCTGTCAAAATTTTGATTATAATGATAATATACTTACCTGCTTACTACTGAAACTCTGAACCAGACAACCATGCTTCAGAGATACACCTTTTGTTCTTGTGCTCAACAAGTATGACCTCTTTGAGGAGAAAATCAGTAGGGTGCCCCTTTCATCCTGTGAGTGGTTCCAGGACTTCTGCCCCTTGAGGACCAGCCACAACAACCAATCCCTTGCCCATCAGGCCTATTATTACATTGCCATGAAGTTTAAGGACCTCTACTTCGCCCTCACCAAGCGGAAGCTCTTTGTTTGGCAAACTCGGGCACGGGACCGGCCGACTGTCGATGAAGCTTTCAAGTATGTGAGAGAGGTGCTCAGATGGGAGGATGAGAAGGATGATAACTATGTTATTGAGGATTCTTTCTATAGCACCACTGAATTGAGCTCTTCACCATTCATCAGGCAGGAACAATGAACATACCTAGTCATCAACTGAACAATTACATATTTGCATCTCATTTGCTGATATTATACTGAGATTTGTTCTACTGTGTTGATAGGAAAAAGATTTTCTTTGTCTGTAACATGAGTTGAACTTTTTATGGTGTATGAACAGATTTTAGAGAGGAACTGATTAAATGAAGAAGTAATTATTCATTTGTATTTGAGATTAGCTATTTGTATGTTTCCATTACTTTGTTAGATCTAATACACATGAAGAGAATTCTCTGTAATCTCAACTTGACTGTTTTAAGCTAATGCAGAGCTTGTGGTATTATCAAATGGATTGGGAAGTGTTTTATTGCTTATTTTAGAGTCCTTTGCTTTATTCTTGCTATGAGATGTTGGTAAGAATTCAATGTTGATCTATAGTATGCATGCTTAAAACATAAAGTAAATATTACATATAGCCACATACATGGGTGTATTTATAATAACTCATTTTAAATCATAAATAGTTACATGAAATATTTATTTTATTTAAATATAGATTATACATACTTGTGTGCATGTGTTTACCAAAAATTATCATCTTTATATTTTATATAGTTGTTGATAGCCACTAATGTACAATAAATTTATTTTTGAAATTATAGATATTAGTGTACAACACTAATGTCTCAAAGCAAGGGTTGTACACAACTATTTATATGTGTTTTATTATAAATTCATTCAGTGTAGAATAAGTATATAGTTGTATATAACTCTCTCAACTTAAAGGGTTATGTACACATCTTTGTACAACCCTTACTTTGAATTGGATTATAAATAGCTTTATATGTGTCTATTATAAATTAATTTGTTATATAAGTTGTATACAATTGTGTTCAAATCTCAATACTTAAAGGGAAATACATAGTGTGTATAATTATTTTATTAAAAATTAATTTATTTTAAAATATTTGTGCATGTTTGTATCAACCTTACATTGAGCTTAGAGATTTATGCACAATTAAGTACAAGCAATTTAATACAAACTAATTCATTCTAAGATATATATATATATATATTGATATATACAACCCCCTAAATTCAAAGTAAGGGTTATATATAGGTATCTACATGTGGTTTATTGCATAATTTATTTCATTAAAGAATATTTACAAAGTAGAGTACAACCCTCTTGATTTGAAAGTAAGGATTTTGTATGGATTTTTATATATGTTTTATTGCAAAATAATTGGATCAAGAAGATGTACACAACTATAGAGAGGTGTTTTGTTGTAAATTATTTCTTTCAAGAATATTATGCAATTGTATTACTCTTATTTCAAGTTTAGAGTGTTAAGTGCATGTGTTTTATTGCAAATTAATTCATTCTACAATATGCATACAATTGTAGAGTAAGATGCTTGTTCCTATAAAGGGTGAATTGTTTTGGGAACTTTGGCTATGCATGATTGTAATTGATCATTTTTAGATTGATGGCATCATAAGAAGTTCACAACAAAAAGGATAAAACTATAAGGATCAACTTGACATGAAACGAGTTGGGCAAAACAAACAATACCTTGTATACCATGGCATGGGACATTATAATTGAAATAAGCAATGAACTAAGATGGAAGTTGGTTAGCTTATGACTTCCTAAATTAAAATAGAGCAATTTAAAAGATGGGGAGTAATCTTTATGGTGAAGTTTAGATAAAGAGTGGCAATTTGAAAGTTTCTAGAAACAATATGGGCATGAATGAACCAAATGCCCCCATTGAAATGGGAGGTAAAGTATATTAAGATGCAAGAATTACATCTTTCTGGTGCAATGGTTAAATTTTTCTTAATAACTCCATAATTAAACATGCTTGTAATGGAGTATTCATGGGATAGAAATATCCATAAAATTCTAATGATATAAGCTAAACTATAAAGTGCTTCCTAATATAACAATGGGATGAACTAAAAAAGGAAATATCTTGCTTGACATGATATCGAGTGCTATATGAACTGGGTGGTCATACCTAATATATGTAACACCGCAATATCAAATTTTGAAACAATTGTATATTTTATCTCATAATTAATCTATCAGAGCTTATAATAATTCATTAATATAAATAGATAAAGAAAAAAACCTATAAATCATATACATTGTGGGCTCCGAAAATTTGGCCCCGGCCTCCCCGCCGCGTGATTTCTTCTTGTTCGGCGAGGGGAGTTTTAACGAAATAAGTTCCGGGGTAAATTTTGGAAGGCAGATGGATTTGTAGATAAGACACTACCCAGAGATTTCGCCCTCATTTTGTGAGGACTTTATGATCTGAGTTCTGGTTTCCTATAGGCGCAAGCCCCTATAGTTAATTACCCCTCCCGATCACGAGAGAGAACTTTTGATTAAGGCTAGTCGTTGATCAGATACATAAAGATACGTGGTATCTGGCATATAGTAGCAACAAATTTGTGCCGTGACCACGAGGACAACGGAAACATGAGATCTTGATACGGGCCCATCATCCATTCACCCCCATCCGCTTTAATGGTAGTGGTTGCAAGATTTCTTATTTTAAAAATCAAACTCTCCAATTCTCAAATCCAAATCCAGTTTTCAAATCGACCTATTTGC